CTGGGGATTTAGCTCAGTGTCACTGCACCTACCTCACAAGCGCAAGGTCCTGAGTTCAATCTTCAGTACCAAAAACAGAAAAAAAAAGATTACTTGCTTCCTGATAAAAGCTAGGGACACACCTTAATCTCATGCAAACCACCCTTTGAGCTACTTAATTTATTCCAAATAATTTACTCTATATTTATGACATATGGACCCCAGCCAATTTTACAGTAGGCTCATATCTCTATTTATCTTTTCTATTTCAACTGTCCTCTAATTTCTAAAATTCCATTGTGGTCAACCTGACTTTATGTTAATGTAATCAATGAGGACAGAAAGTCCAGCTAAACATTTGAACTAGAAATGAAGGGCCATGGTAACCAATGATGGAGATAGTGGGACAATGTAACTTCATAATGTCTAGCTCTTCGTGGTTTATAGCCTAGCATAAGGAAGATAGCTAATGAACATCCAGCATTTGAGGGACTTTTACAAAGTGTGATCGAAATATCCAGTAAATATTTAAATTAAAAATTTTATTACAGTAAAAGACAAATTACCATTAATTCTCCTCAAAATCTTCCCCTCACTTCAAACACACTTATCCCATAATTCTTGCCACTTTCTGAAGCAATTCACTCCTCCTTCGTGAGTGTCTTTAGGAAGTATGATCAAAAATAGGATGAACTCTGCTGCTTATTGGCACCTAGAAGGAAAAGAAAGTTTGTAAAAACATTAGTGTGTCCTCGTCCACCTTACTCACAAGATCCAGCACCATGTGACTTCTGACTCTTCCCCAAAGTCAAAATGACTATGAAAGGTAAGTGTTTTGAACCCATTCAGGACATGGAGGCAGCCAGACAGCCCAACTAATGACTCATGAAAGAGGACCTCCAGAACTACTTCAGAAAGTAGTAGGAATGAAGGGACAAGTGTGCTCCAAGTGAAAGGGAGTATTTTGAGGGGCAATGTGTCCTTTACTGTAACAATTTTTAAAAAAAATTTAGCACTCACCATATTTTTCTATCATGTCTCATATGTTTGGAGAATCTCTTACCAAACAAGCTTGAGTGAGGGAGAGCTTGTCTGTCACCATAGATGCTACAAAGGCCTTTCCTAACACTTTCAGCAGCTATGGTGTGGGCACGTGATCTAAAGCATGGTTAATCAAAGTCATGGGACCTTAGTGACACATAAGGCAAAAAATGGGGCAAAACTGTACTGGAGACAATAAGATTGTCCCAGTGTCCAGGGAAGCAATTTGGAATCAGGGCTCAAAGTGGCTCTGTATCAGTGTTTTCACTCTAATGTTTGTAGTAAGATTATTATGTATATGTCATATATCCCATATATTATATATAATTGAAAAGAATTTACCAACACTATGAAATTTCATCCCTAAATAGTTGAGCATATTATCTCCTAAGGACGAGGACTATCTCCTGTAAAACCACACTATCGTTATCAACTTCTAGGAATGTAATAATCATTCTATAAAGTCATTTAATTACAGTGCATAGTCAAGTTTCCTCAATTTTCCCTCAAATGCCTTCCATGTCCTCTTTCACCCAGTCCAGGTTCTAATCAAAGTTTATGCATTGCATTTAAAGCCATCCCTCGCTAATCTCATTAGCTATAGCAATTCTGTCCCCACTTTTTATTTGTTATGTAGACATTTTTTAAGAGTTCAGGTTAGTTGTCTTGTAGAATATCTCACATTCTAGATGCCTCTGATTATACCTTCGTGATTAGATTTAGGTTAAAGATTCTTGGCAAAAGTACTTTATATGTGATGCTGTGTAGTTGTTATTACATCACAGCAAGAGGAAACAATGCCATGGTGGTGATGCTAAGACTGAGGAGTTAATTGATATAATGATTATCAGAGCTCCCCATTGTAAAATTACATTGTTCCCTTTGTAACTGCTAAGTAATTTGTGAAGTAATATCTTGACCTCATGTGAATATTCTGTTGTTCAAATTATCTTTCACTCAATGATTTTAGCATCCATTAATGATCCTTGCTAGATTAAATTATTACATTAGATGTTGGAAAAGAGTGACTTTCTACTTGTCATTTTTTCTACATTTGACAATGAGTACTATTCCAAAAAGAAGAGCTTTCTTTCTACCCTCAACTCCTCCACCTTCAGCCCCACCATTTCAAATTCATTGATCTTTTTAATTCAATGCACTGCAAACCAACACAAAGATCATTGTTTGTGGTGTCAAAATTGAGTTGACTTCGATCGGTGAATACCTTTGATTTGACTTCATTCGAGTCCAAGTGCTTCTTTACTTTCTAGCAGAACAAAATGTTCTGAGCTCACCCTGTACATTCTCTGCTCCAGTCCTGGAATCAGTCATTTCTTCAACGGGCCCTGGTTCTCTTTTTAGTAGAGAATGTTATGTAGAAACCAATATCTGAGCTCTAGGTTTGCTGACTGATAACTGGGGTGTCATTACTTCTAAATACTTTGAGTGACTAGAGCTAGGGAAAATGCATATACAAATGAATTCATACTGATATTTCTGATTTAAATCTAACATTACAAGGCTTTCCTTTACTTTCTGCTGCCTTATACAGTACATACATATCTTTTAATATCATGAAAATCTTGGGTCCTACTAGCATTAACACATTTGCTTATTTGCTTCTTCCTATAGTGTATACAGATGCACAAATAAATCAGACTTATAATGGAAAGTTTGTGATTACTTTGCAGCTCTTTTTGTCATAAAAATATTCTAATGGTGTGTATAGGCACAGAACTGTGTTCAAAGTTTTGAAATAAACTTTAATTTTATCTCGGGTTTATTACAAATGTAATATTTAATTAGGTTCATTTATTCCTATTTCTATTTTTAATTGAGTTTTTGCATCACTTTACTGAATTTTTAAATATATAAAACATTTACATGTGTAAAAATTCAAAATTATCTAAAATGTTAACATCAGAGAAATAAGTATTCTATTCCTACTTTCTCTACCCAGTTTTCTCTAACTTTCCATAATTTTTATCTTATCTTTTCTCCCTTTATTTTGTAGGAACACACACATTTTTTTCTTCTCATTTGTTCTACAAAAAGCAGCACGGTATATTCTGTACTTTTTCCACTTAATATACACCCTGGAAACTATACAGTATTAGTTCATGGACTGTGCCTCATTCTCTTATACAATTGTTTGTACTTCGTTGTATTCCATGTTGTAAAATTCTTTACCTGGCCCATTCATTGTACCTTAATCCTACCTCAGTTTGAGAGCAATAGATTATAAATATTTTGTGACGGACTAACAAAATAGTAATGGTGTATCAGTAAGGTTGCAAGATACAAAACCAACATACAAAAATCATTACTGTGTTCATGTATCAATAATGAAATCATTGTGAAAAAGGAAAGTAATATTCCCAATAGCTACAAATACCAAAGAATAAAGTTAACTTAACATCAATAGTGAAATTGCTGACAAAAACTAAGAAAATGATCTCATTCATAATAGGCACAAAAACTACCTAGGGATAAATTTAAGGAAGTTAATGGTTTCTATGATGAAAATTACAAAAGACTGATGAAAGAAGTTGAAAACAATACATACACAAAAAGGAAAAACAGCCCATGTTCATGGGTTGTAAAAATTAATATTTTGAAAAAGTTCATACTACCGAGAATGATCTACAAATTCATTGCAATTTCTATCAAAATACCAATTACATTCTTCACAGAACTAGAAAAAAACAATCAAAATTTGTATGGAACCACAAAATACCTTGAATACCTATAGTAGTATTGATCCAAAAAAAGTCAGGGGCATTATGATACTTTTTAAATGATATTTTATAACATTCATAACATAATATAAAGCATCAGTAACAAAATAGCATGATACTAGCATGAAAACAGACAGACAAACCAATGACACAGTGTAAGAATCCAAAGATAAATCTACATATTTACATACAACTGATTGTCAATAAAGACAGCATGAACATATATTGGAGAATATAGACTTTTCAATACACTGTGGTGGGAAAACTGGGTATCCATATTACAGAAGAATGAAACTAGACTCCTATCTCTCATCCTATATGTAAAAATATCAACCGAAAATGGACCAAAGACTTAAACATAAGACCTGAAACTTCCTCATGAGAAATGTAATCATTATGTACTGCAAACATGTACCAAAACAAACAAACAAACAAACAAAGACCTAAAACCATAAAACTACCAGAAGAAAACATAGGAGAAAAGACTTTTTGGATAGACCTCAAAACTACAGCCAACAAAACCAAGAAAACTGATAAATGATATATCAAACTAAAAAGCTCCTGGCAGACACCCTACCAAGATCGCAAGTCACACAGAAAACACCGAATCTGCCCACGCCCCAGCAGCAATCCACTAGATCCCCCCCCCCGCTCCTCTGTACAGCCACCTGCTTCCACACTACAAAGACGCAGAGGACACCAGACCACCAGTGCACGGTACTGGGTCCTGCCGCTCCCGGCCCACAGGTAGGGGCTTCTAAGCTGCTGTCAAATGTAAGACCGAGGGCCTTACCAAATGCTCCGAGGAGCTGACTGCAGTGAAGAACACCCAGGAAGGAACACACCAGACAAGTTGGAAAGTAAAACAGACCTTTATTTGTCTGGCCAGATGGCACTCCCAAAGCAAAGTAGCTTAGAGAGGCAACTGGCTCAGAGTCCGAAGCTGTTTTCATAGGGGGTCGCAGGGGAAGTTGGCAAGCAGAAATACAAAAGCGGAGGAGAGAGATAAAACAGACCACAGGGGAAGTTGGCAAGCAGACAGAACACTACACCCACAACAGACCTTCTTGGCACAACAACAAACACATCTCTGGAACTTGATGTCTACCTGGTGATCCGTAACAGAAGTAGAAAGTTGAGACCCTATTACAAAGATGGAGTAACTGTTGTTCAGTCTCACATTCCCCACTGATTTTTCCCATAGCTGTGTAATCTTATACAGCACTATCTTGGTGTTCTTGCCTCCATCTTTGTTCTTTCTCATCTAGCTCACTTAAAGGATGATATTTGGCCTGTTGATTCAAAATCATTAGGCGAACAGATCCTATCCAGGCCATTACATAGGCCATAAGCTTATTAATAATGCATGGGCCAAAAGTCAAAGCTAGTAACAATATTAACAGGGGTCCAGCAAGGGCAGAAACAAAGGTAGTCATCCAGGGAGATCAGTTAAACATTGACTGGAACCATCCATCCTGTTTTATCAATCTATTATAATTTTCTTGTAGATGTTTATTTACAGTGGCCAGAGTTTCTCTTATTATTCCAGATTTGTTAGCATAATAGCAACATTGCTCTCCTAGGGCTGCACATAGCCCTCCTTCTTTCATAAATCCGAGGTCAAGTCCTCGGCAGTTTTGAAGGACCATCTCAGCCAGAGAATCAACTTGTTTTTCCAAATGAGACACTGACTCGGTAAGTAGGCCTAAGTCTATTGTTACCTGTTGGGCAAGGGTCTTGAAATTAAAGTCTTGTAGTCCTATTGCGGTCACACTCAGAGCTGCTGATCCCGCAATGCCTGCTGCAGTTAACACAGGAATCAATGCTGGGTGCCACTTCTCTTCGGTGTGTGCTCTCTTAGCTAGGTATTCCCAACCCTGTTCTTCTCCATATATAGTGACTTGGGGTAAAATGTGGACCATTACACATACCTCAAGTTCCTGATTGAGGATTGTCATGGATAAACAGGGAGTTATACCATTTGTACATGCCCACCATGCATTGTTTCCAGCTTTTAAATATTTTTCATTACTGATGGTGGGTGTCTGATAAGAACATATACTGTCCAGATAAAATGATGTAACACTTGGATTTTTTAACACATAACCCTTTTCCTTTTATATCCCCAATTGACAACCTCAGTTGTTTCCAATCACACTCATTCTGGTCAGCTTCTGAAAAAGTGCCATTTACTGCCAACCCTACATAATAAGGGGGAAAAAGACTCAAACACAACCAGCACCCTTGAGTAAGATTGGGGCTAGACTCATTTAACAGGGTATACATGGCATCCAGGGTTTTTAGGTATGGTTGGATCAGAGATTCAGGAGCAACTAATGACACATTATAGGTTCCTTTTGCCTTTTCTTTTTCTTGGGGGCCGGAGACCCTATAAATGTTGCCTACCGGGTTAGGTGATACTATTACTGGGCTATGCTGGATAAGGAGGTCAGTCATAGGGTCCTTTTCACCCACATAGAGTGCCACCATCCAGGATTTTCCTTTTTCCCAATCTTTATATGGATTTTGCCATTGTTTTAAGGTTAGCTTGATGGGATTACATTTTCCTTTGGAACATGAACCACTTGGTGTTTGTTGTTCCAAGGCCAAATACGCATCATCATTTTTCCATGGGGCAATAGATTCACAACCCCAATGATGACAGTGGTTTCCTGGTCCCCCATTGCACCTTTTATTTTTCCCTATGGGGCAGGCATAAATATCTATATCTTGGAGGGTTTTTTCCAACTTATCATCTATTCCACACCTCCCTCCGTGGCCCCCTTTACCCATCTTTCCAGATGAAACTTTACCCTTTGATCCAGCCCCTCCACCACTAATGATTGGAAGCCCCAGAGAACACAGGTCTATAATAAAATGGGGCTGTCTATCCATAGTAATGGTGGCAATGTGAGCTCCCGTTAAGGCATTTTTCAAGGACCAAGTCCAGTTCTGGGAAGTGTGGCTGGACAACACCAGCTGGCAGCCAGCTCCCCCTTCCATTGGGGCTGGTAAGAACAGAAGCCCCAAGAACCCCCATATTGTCCAAACTAGTCTTCGATCAATCTTATCTTGAGGGGGTCCTTTGTGTTCAGATCAATCCGCCATGTTGATGTCGCTTCCTCCAGAGGTGCTGCCTTTAAATGGCTGCGGTGGATCCAGGCAGAGTGTCCAGCTACCTTAACTGCTGAGGGAGTCACCAGGATGATGGGAAATGGTCCCTTCCAGCGGGGTTCAAGGGTCTTGGAGTCAAACCTGTGAATGAAAACCAAATCCCCCAGCTTATAGGGTAAGGGTTGCAAAGGTTTTTCACTGGGACCAGGCATAGTTTTTCTCAGCTTATCATGTAGCTCTGATTGAAGCTGATGGACTGCTTTTAGGGACTTAAGGAGTTGGAGGTGGGAAAGTCTTTCCTTTAACTCCAAATCAACCAGAGGGACGATTAGGGATTGCCCATAAATGATCTGGAAGGGTGACAGATTTAGGGGCGGCTTAGGGATACACCGGGTACGAAGGAGGGCAAAGGGGAGAAGTTCTACCCAACCTCGTTCAGTCTCCATGCATAATTTAGTTAGAACTTCTTTTAAGGTTCGATTTATTCTTTCTACTTGTCCTGAACTCTGAGGCCTATAGGCACAATGCAAATTCCATTTTATCCCTAAAGCTTTACTGATGAATCAAGATAATTTAGCTGTAAAGGCTGGACCATTGTCAGACCCCAGAGCTAAGGGCAAGCCAAAATGAGGAATTATTTCTGTCAAGAGTCTTTTGACTGTTACCTCGGCTGTCTCTCTCTTAGTAGGAAAGGCTTCTATCCATCCTGAAAAAGTATCTACAAAGACTAATAAGTACTTGTACCCATACATACTGGGTTTCATTTCAGTAAAATCCAATTCCCAATGTTCTCCTGGAGTTAATCCTCTATATCGGACCCCTGGAGGTCTGATCATCTGGTTTGCGTTTACCTTTATACAGGTGGGGCATCGTCTCATTAGGTCTTTGGCCTTTTGTGCCATTCCCTTGCTGATGAAATGGGGTTGCAGAGAGGCCATCATTCTTTTCTCGCCAAGGTGGGTAGACCCATGCAGTTCTTGTAGCAGTGTGTCTGATACAGCAGCTGGGAGCACCACTTTTCCATCCTCGGTCATCCACCATCCATGTTTACCTTGAGTCCACTGCTTTTTGGTCATTTCCACCGTTTCTTCATCTGTGTACTCTGGTTTCTCTGGCAGCACTGGTGTGGGGAGCAGAACCATCTGTTTCCCCACTGATTTTGGGGCAGCTTGTTTTGCTGCCAGATCAGCTGCATTATTACCAATCACCTCAGGACTAGCCCCCTTTTGATGCCCACGGACATGGATGATAGCAACCTCTCATGGTAGCCAAATAGCTTGTAACAATGTCAATATCTCAGTTTTATTTTTAATTGTCTTTCCTTCAGAGGTCAGTAGCCCTTGGTTTTGATAAATCTCCCCATGCACATGGGCAGTGGAAAAGGCATAATGGTTGTCAGTGAAAATATTTATTCTTTTACCTTTACCTAGTTTTAGAGCCTTGATCAGAGCAATCAACTCAGCCTTTTGTGCTGACGTCCCTTGGGGCAGCCCTTGCTCCCATTCCACCTGTTGGTCCTGGTTGACCACCGCTGCCCCGGCATATCGCACTCCATCACGTATGAAGCTACACCCATCAGTATAGAATGTGACCTCCACCTGGGGGAGGGCCTGGTCCATTAAATCCGGACGCCCTCCTCATAAATTTTCAAGAGTCTCAAGGCAATCATGGATGGGCATCTGTTCATCAGACTCTGGGAGTAAGGTAGCCGGGTTGAGGCTAGTGGTGGTGGCAAACTTGATGCGTGGCTGCTCCAATAGGAGTCCTTGGTATTGTAACAGTCTGGAATTAGATAGTCACTTGCTAGGGTAGCTGTTTAATAAGGGCTCAATGGCATGGGGAGTGACTAAAGTCAAATCCTGTCCAAATGTCAGTTTGTCAGCCTCTCGGGTTAGAGCAGCTGCTGCTGCTACAATCCTCAGACAAATGGGCCACCCTTGAGCCACTGGGTCTAGCCTTTTCAAGAGGTATGCCACTGGCCACTTCCATGGTCCCAAAGGCTGAGTTATCACTCCCTTAGCTACCCCGTTCTTCTCTGCTATATACAGAGTGAAGGGCTTAGTTATGTCTGGCAATGCCAGGGTTGGTGCTGAAGCAAGCTTAGTTTTAAGCAGTTGGAATGCCTGCTGGCAAGCCTCAGTCCATTTGAGGGGTGTATCTCCCCCTGCAGTGGCTTGGTGCAGGGGTTTGGCAATTTCAGCAAAACCTGGGATCCAAATTCTGCAATACCCGATTGCCCCTAGGAATTCACGGACCTGTTTCTTTGAGCTTGGTTCTGGAATCTGGAGAATTGCTGATACCTGTGATTCTGCCAGCCTCCTCTTCCCTTCCTCAAGAATATAGCCCAAGCAGGTTACCTTGGTCTGGCAAAGCTGAGCTTTTTTCCAGGACACCCAATATCCCAGGTCTTGGAGAACTTCCAGGAGGCCCTCGGTGGCCCCAAGGCATTCTTCATTGGTTGAAGTTGCCACTAGGAGGTCATCTACATATTGAAGAATAGTTGCTTGGGGAAAAACTCTCCTTACCTCTCGTAAATCTTTGCTGAGAGCTTCCCCAAACAGAGTGGGAGAGTTCTTGAATCCCTGTGGC